TGCCTTCGGCTCAGGTCATGATCCCAGGGTCCTGGGATCGAGCCCCGCATCGGGCTCCATGCTCGGCGGGAAGCCTGCTTCTCCCTCTCCCACTCTCCCTGCTTGTGTTCCCTCTCTCGCTGTCTCTCTCTGTCTGTTAAAAAATAAATAAAATCTTTAAAAAAAAAATGAGATTTTGGGGAACATATTCTTGGATACATCTCTTCAATTTTAACTATAAGATACATGGTGAACAATGAAGGATTGTAATGGATTTTTCTCTTATTCTTCATAAATGAATTTTGTCTGGACTAACTGAGGCTGATTTTCAGGTGTTAGTGTGGTATGTATATCATTTACACTGAGTTCTGGGTCGTAAATCTCCCACTGAAATACTGTTTGAAAATGCCTAATATAGTGCTTGACCCATGTTGAACATTTAATTCTTAGTTGAATCTTCTTCCCTGAGTCCTGCCCTAGGGCTGGTTTTTAGTGGGTTTAAGAGGTTTGTACTAGAGAGCAGTTGGGTATTGATCAGTAGAATAAACAGGCTTGAAAATGATAGGGTATATATTTTAAATAGATAGCACTGGCTTAGTCTTCTGTAGATGATTTTTACCTTCAAATACATTGATTTTATTTTACTTACTATTTTTTAAAAATACTCTTTTTTTTTTTTAAAGTAATCTCTGCATCCAATGTGGGGTTCGCACTCACGAGCCTGAGATCAAGAGTCACGTGCTTCACCGACTGAGCCAGCCAGACACCCTTCAAATAAATTGATTTTAGTATCAAACTTGTACTGAATGACATGTACTGGTCACTATACTAGGCACTCTAGAAGAATACAAATGGTATAAAATTAGAGTCCCTATATACTAGTGTGAAAGACAAAGCATATCTGGATGAAGATTGTAACAATAGTTGCAGCATACTCAAAAGCACATCTTTATTATAAAATGCTGTCTAAACTGGAATACTCAGGACACTGGCTGTGGAAGGAACCCTAGAGTTCATAAGACCTCTTGTTCACTGTCTGTCATGCTATCTATTATGTTCCCTGTAGAAAGTCACTTAATCTCTCTAAACCTTATTTTTTATCATTTTAGTGACATCTGACAGTTGTGTAGTCTTCCCAAATAGTTGATCAGTTGGTTTATTTAACAATTATGGTAGGTTCTGTACTAGGCACTGGCAATACATTGAAATATAAGATGTAATCCCTGTCCCTGAGTTGCTTACACTAGTGTTAGTATTTTGTGAATAAATGTATTATATGCTGGACAAGTGTTATAATGGAAGTATTGCATAAAATGCTTTGGGAACTCAGAACAGAATAACTAATTCTGTCCAAGGCTATTGGAGTAGGCTTTTGAAAATGGTGTCCTTCAGCCAGGCCTTGAAAAACTTGTAGGGAATTTGCCTGTTAGACAAAGAAGGGGTGAAGAGCAGTTCAGGAAGAGAGAAGAACAGATATAAAAGATTAGAACTGAGGGAATAGGATGTGTATTTGAAAGAAATGGCTTATGAGGAGGCCAGAATGCAGAATGTGGGAAGAAAGGAGTGACTGGAAATGAGGCCATAAAAGTAAAATAGGGTCACATTGTGAAAGAGATTGAATGGCAGTTTGGTTTGGTAATTGAGAATATGGACTTTGGAAAAAGATCTTAGTTCAGAACCTGGCTATGCCACTCTGATCAGATCAGATTGTTGGTAAGATTAAGTTCTTAACCTCCTTATGGAGGTTACCTCATTATCTCTAAAAGAAGAACTAAATATCCTGATCTTATAAAGTTGTTAAGGATTAAAGCCAGTAGGCGTTTACCACATGATAAGCACCAACAAATGGTTGTTGTGGTTATGATTATTGTAAGAAGTTTGAATTTTATCCTACTGTCAACAGAGGGCTACTGAAGAGTTTTAGGCTAAAATGTATGCTTGAGAAAGAACAGTTAGCATGGATTGGAATAGGGAGATTGAGCAGTGGTGAAGAAGGGACTAACTTGTTCTTTAGTAATTAGAGTCATCACACTTGGTAATGATGCTGTAGGGAATGAAAGGGAGAGGGTGTTAGAGATGACACCCAGGTTGTCACTTGATGGATGGTGGAGCCCCGTTTCCTGAGGTAAGAAACTCAGAGCAGGAACACATTTGTGGACAAAGAAGGAGGAGATTAGTCTGGACCCACTGAGTTTGAGGTACCTGTAGGGCTCCTATTTGGAGATGTTAGATAGGCATTTGAATATATGATTTTGGAATTCAAGGGAGACCTGTGGGCTGGAGATCTAGATTTGAGAGTGATAAGCCTGAAGCTGGTATTTGAAACTAGAGAAATGGATGACAGTACACAAAGGGAGATTTGAGAGTGAGGTGAAAAGGCTAAACAGAGCCCTGAAGACATGCAATGTGAACGTTGACATTGAGTAACAGAAGGAATTAGCAAAGGAGCTTGTGGAGGAGTTGTCGAAGAATGGGATGCGAGCATAAAATGCAATATGATGACGTCAAGAAGGAAGATGCCAACAGTTTTGAATACTGCTGAGGGATCAAGCCAGATAGGACTTAAAATGAACATTAGATTTAGTGACAGATTGGTTATCTTTACTAGAGAAATTTAGTGAAGCAGAAACCAGTTTTTAGGATTGTCTAGGAATAGGTGGGAGATAAAGAAATGGATATAGTGTTGGTAATTCTTTAATGTAGTTTAGCAGTGAGAGGAAGAAGAGAGGTTCAAGACAATAGCTAGAAAAGGACTTTTCAGTGGATTTGTGTGTGTGTGTGACTGTGAGATTGAAGAGACTTGAACCTATTTAAATCTTGATAAGAGGAGACCATTGGGGGGGAGGGTAATTGATAATATAGTTCCCTTGAAGAGGGATCCAGAGCACAGATAAAAGAATTTAAGAGAGG